CTTTGCTGTAATGCCTTCCAGACCCCTAGCCACCGTCATCTTATTTACCAAATGTACATAGATTCTGAGCCTTTTCATCTGCCTCAATGCTGGATCCTTACAATTTCCAGGATTTTTCATTCATCCTGAAAGTAAACTGTCTTATTTCTTGTCTTTTCCAATTAGACTACAAGCTCACCGAAAGCAGGACTATCTTGCTTTTGTATCTGTATCTTCAGTGCCTAGCATACCGTTTGGCACTCAGTAAGCTGATAATAAAGGCCTTTTCATTAACACATTAATTAGACCCAAGAAGGTCTGTAAATGCCTTTTAATCCAGTAATACCACTCCTAAGCATATGCCACAAAGAAATTAAAAATAGAAGACACCCATGCGTCCAAAAATATTAATAACAGCTTTTTGGGGGAGGGTTGTTTTTAGCAAAGAACTAAAAGTAAATAGATGCCCATTAATTAGGGAACAAGCTGAACAAAGTACACATATAATTGGCTATTACAATGTTGTGAGACAAAACAAAAGAGATGACTTCAAAGAAACCAGGGAAGATTTATACTAACTGATGAAGAATGAAGTGAGCAGATTAAGGAGAACAATTCATAAATCTAATAATATTGTGAAGGAAAATAATTTTGATCAGTGCAATGGCTAAACATAACTCCAGAAAACTGAAAATAATGCATGCTTTCTCCTTGTAGCCAGCAAGGAGACGGACTAGAGGTGCAGAATGAAATACATATTTTCAGGCATGACTAATGCATGAATTTGTTTTCCTTAACTATACTTACAAGAGAGGGCTATTTTGGGGGAAAGGGAGAATGACAGTGATTAAAAAAAGAAAAAGAAAAAAGAAAACTTCAGTGAAATATTTTAAAAATACACAGAAGAAAGCAGAAGGAAGTTCAGAAGAGAACATACACAAGCAGGGCAATGTTGGGGCTACTATGTTAAGTTTAATAAACACTTCAATCAGAATGTTGTACTTGTTAGAGTCACAGTTTCAAATACCATCTCTTTTTTTTCCCCTCTCTTTTTTGTATACGGAAATGTCCCTGTTTCTTGATATTTGTCAAGTTCATAATTTTTTAAAAAAGAAAAACAAAACCCTAGCAGTGATGATAATACCACTCGTTTCTTTAACATCTTCAGTTTCTTGCCCAGAGCTTCAGAGCTCCTACGACGCATTCTGGGCTCCTTTCGGCAGGATTCACTGGCGCCATATTAACCACAGAGCGGGACAGTGGTTATCAGGTTTCTCTTGACCCAGGAGATTCTCAATCACACCATAGCCACAAGCCCGAGGAAGACAGACGACTGCTCTATTCCTGATGTCATTTTCATATGTGGCCACGTTTTATTCAGTAAAGAGACATGAGCTTATTCCATCGAGCTCTTCTTCTGGCAAATGATGTATGCCTTCTCTCCTGATGGAACCTTTAGAAACACATCATCATTCCTTGGAACACTCCTTGGAATACTCCTTGGAATGTCTAGCTTTATCCCCTGAGAAGAGTCTCCTGTCTATCTATTATCTCCTTCCAGATTATTCAGTGGTACTTCTTCCTTTCCCATGTTTCTACCTTTAACACTCCAGACACAGGTTGGAATTTCTAGATTCTTTTTTGCTATTGTTGTTCAGTTCTTTTTCAGCTGTGTCGGACTCTTTGTGACTCCATTTGGGGTTTTCTTGGGAAAGATACTGAGATGCTTTTGGCATTTCCTTCTCTAGCTCATTTTAGAGATGAAGAAATTGAGACAAACAGGGGTAAGTGACCTAACCAGGTTCACACAGCTAGGAAGAGTTTGAGGTCAGATTTGAACCCAGGAAGATAAGCCTTCCTGACTTCAGGCCTGGTACCCTATCTATTGTGCCAACCAGCTGCCCTACCTTCCTTAACATCTTTTTATTCTTTGTTTTCCCTTGGAATTGCCCCCACCACCATTCTTTCAAGGAACATTTTGTTGAACCAGAAAATGTAGAGAACAGAACACATTCCATAAGAACAATGGCACTAAAGTCAGAAGACATAAATTTCAATCTTGCCTCTGATATGTCACCTGTATGTATGACCTTAGATAAGTCACCTAACTTCTCTGGGCCTCAGTTTCCTCATTCATAATGTGAGTAGATTACTCTAGATCAGGAGTTCTTAACTTGGAATTTGTGGATTTGAAAAAAATGTTTATCACTACATTTCAATATAACTGGTTTCTTTTACAATCCTGTGCATTTTATTTTGTGCATTTAAAAACACAATTGTGATGAGAGCCCTTAGGCTTCATCAGGCTGCCCAAGGGGCCCAAGACACAAAAAGAGGCTAAGGACCCTGGACCAGATGCTCCTGAAGGTCCCTTCCAGCTGTGGATCCAGAATCATAGTCAGTTGTTTCAGTATGTCTAAGGTCTTAGAAACACTACCAACTGTAGAAGCCTGATTTCTGTACTTCTGGAGATCACTATTCTATCATTTACATTGAGGTTTTTCTGTGTTGGTCATCTCATAACTATGTCCCTTGAGCAAAGCAACCACGTTATCCATAATTTATTCAAAGTTTTCCCTGTTGGTGCTCCAAACACAGTGGATACTCAACAAATGTTATAATAAAGATATATAAGATTAGGCCAGCGCTGGCTCAGAGGCAAAGCGGCAGGGCAACATGTCTTCTCCACCTAACTCCACAATCCCATCTGTGAACCTCCCCCACACAGCTAACAGAGTCATGCATAAATAAATAAATAGAGGTTTTAGGTACAAACACCAACTTAGCTAATTAGTACCTGTTTGATTTCGGGCAGAAAACAACATCTCTGGGCCTCAGTTTTTTATTAGTAAAACAGATTATATAAACTCTAAAGTACCTTCCAGCTCTAAACCTGTAACTCTCTGCTCTTTCCTTGAGATAATTAATATTTAAATTGTATATACGACTCAACTAACCCTGCTTATTGCCATGGATTGAGAAGATAGCCTGAAAACAATGTGGGGGGGAGGGAGGTTGCTGAGCCAGACAAGTAGTTCTCAGACTGGGGCCAATGTATTAATTATAATGAATCTTAATGGCATATTATGTACTAAGTACTGGTTTTTTGTTCTGTAGTTACCAATCAAGTAAGCTTATCATATATGCGTGTGATATATATGTGTATCTACATATACACATATATATCAAATATACATAGTTGCTATTGATTAATGAACTATAAATTTATTTTAAATGTCACTTGATTCCTAAGTTTCTGTCATTATACATTTTTCAATCAACGGATTGAATAGTAATTTCTATCACGAGGTCCGTGAAATGTGTTGACATAAAAAAAGCTCCTGATAGTGAAAAATCTGGAGTAGAACAATGACTAGGGTAGGGTAGTGGAGGCTTTTAACAAGAGCACTGACCTGGAAAATGAAGTCTACTTCCAGGGTATTATATGCTCTGAAAGCATCCACTGCACTGCAGACCAGTAGGGGTTGGGTATAAGGTCATAAGACAAGGGAATGGGTCAGAGAAAAGTGGGAGAAGAGAGTCAGGAAGGCTTATACTTCCTGTGAAATCCCTCTGTACCATACCTGCCCTTCCCCCAAAATATCTGAATTTAAATGAAAAAATAAAGGAATTCCTAGTTAACTATTCTGAGGCTGGAAACCATGGGAACTAGATGATTCCTAAAGATCTTTCCATGAAATGTGACGTAATGGAAAGGTTGCTAGATCTGATGTCAGAGGATCTGGGTTTAAACCCAAGCTCAATTCTTACCGAGAGTGTGACATCAGATAAATGATTTAACTTCCATAGATCTCGGTTTCCCCATCTGTAAAATGAAAGAATTGGGCTAGTTGATTTTCAAAGATTTCTTCCAGCTTTGAAATCTATTATGCTACCACAGTAAAATGTTTTCTCTCAATAGAATGCAAGTTCCCTTAAGTCCCAACTAAAATCCCACCTTCTACAGGAAGTCTTCCCCAACCCCTCTTAATTCCAGTGCCTTCCCTCTGTTAATTATCTCCTATTTATCCTGTAGATGGCTTGCTTTGCATATGATTTGTTTGTATGTCATCTCCCCCATTAGATCGTAAGCTCCTTGAGCACAGGGTCTGTCTTTTGCCTCCCTTTGTGTCCTAGCTTTTAGTACTGCCTGGCACATAGTAGGCACTTAATAAATCTTGACTGACCGCTGAGGATAGGGGGCTGTTTTTCATTATTTTCTTTGTTTAGACTGAGCATACATCTAGAGCTAGTAGCATCTTCAAAACAATCTAGTCTAAGCCCCTCATTTCACAGATGAAGAAATCGAGGCCCGGAGAGATTTAAATGACTTACCCAAAGTTACACACCCACTGTCTGATATGGGATCAAAAGATCGAAACCTAGGTTATCCGATTCCTGAGCCCATGTTCTTTCCATTGTTACCAATGCCTGCCACCTAGTGAGCATTAATCAGTTCTTTTTTTAATTGAGTTGCATGCTAGGAGATTAATTTCTTAAACCACTGGGGAACTGGGATTCGAACCCCCAACCTAAAGTCGAGCTAGCATGTTTTTCCATTACTTCACACTTCCCCTCCACCAGGCAGCGCGGCTCACCTGAATTTTCCCCAGCTCCCTCCAGGGGGCGCTCCTCCCAGCGCGCAGGCGCAGCTTCTGCACGCAGTCCGTGCGATCTCAGAGCTTCCATTACCTCGTCGGGGGACCCGTCCACGAAGCGCTCCCACAAGGACCCGGTGTAAAACTCCACCGTGTGGGCGTTGGCGATGGGATGGCTTTGCGGAGAAACCGCAGCAGCTCCCGCAGCTTGCCGCGGAGCACGTCCAGGTCTTCGGACTCCGGGAGCGCATTGGCGGCCGCCATGACACTCTTCCTCCCGGGCCTGCAGGTGGCGCACGGGCGGCCGCGGGGCTCAGCTCGGCGGGGGCGAAGCACAGGCCTAACGAGTGGCGCGCCGAGCCTCCGACGGGGCTCCCGATCGATCGCCTCTTCCTGATGACGCACTTGGCTCCGCGACGCCTGCTGGGCCCGGAGGAGCAGGAACATGGCCCCGGCGAAGCGCGCTGAGGTACTGCGGGCCGGAGTGGCCCAGGCGCAGGGCGGGCCGGCAGGCCGCCTCGGATTCAAGAAGAAGCGGCAGCAACAGCAGCGGACATGGCGGGCGAACTCGCGGAATGTGTTCTCCGGCAGCGTCCGCGAGGGTGAGTAGCATAGGCGGCCTTTGAGGGGCCGGACCCTGGCCGTGTAACGACAGGATCATTTCCAAGGCCTCTGACCCCCTGCTGCGTGCGGGCCCCAGCGCTTGGCGCAGGGCCTGGTGCACGTTGTTCAGTCATTTCAGTCGTCACCAACTCTCCGTGGCCCCATTTGGGGTTTTCTTGGCAGAGATGCTGGAGTGATTTGCCATTTTCTTCTCCAGCTCATTTTACAGATGAGGAAACTGAGGCAGACAGGGTGAAGCGACTCGCCAAGGGTCACGCAACTACTAAGTGTCTGACGCTGGATTTGAACTCAGGCCCTCCTGACTCCAGGCCCTACGCCTGGCACTATGGCGCCACCTAGCTGCCCCTCTGGGGACATAGTAGGCGCTTAATAAATGCTTCTTTGCTTACTGATCCTTTACTTAACCTCTCTGTGTCCTCAGGCATCTCCCAGTAAGAGGAGAAGATGCAGAGAAGGCTCAGAACTGCTTTAGTGGAAGGAGTTTCCTCTTTGGGGAGTTCCCTGTAGCAGTGAAACGGCAGGCCATATCTCTAGGAGATATTTGTAAATGGCTTAGCACGGTGCCGTGTACATAGTAGGTGCTTTAAAAAATGCTCCTCTTTTCTTTCCGGTCCCAGTGAGGTAATATTTGTAAAGGGATTAGTACAGTGTCTTGTACATAGTAGGTGCTTTAAAAAATGCTCCTCTTTTCTTTCCTGTCCCAGTGAGGTAATATTTGTAAAGGGATTAGTACAGTGTCTTGTACATAGTAGGTGCTTTAAAAATGCTCCTCTTTTCTTGCCTGTCCCAATGAGGTAATATTTGTAAAGGGGTTAGTACAGTGTCTTGTACATAGTAGGTGCTTTAAAAATGCTCCTCTTTTCTTGCCTGTCCCAATGAGGTAATATTTGTAATGGGGTTAGTACAGTGTCTTGTACATAGTAGGTGCTTTAAAAATGTTCCTCTTTTCCTTTCTGTCCCAATGAGGTAATATTTGTAAAGGGATTCGTACAGTGTCTTGTACATAGTAGGTGCTTTAAAAGTGCCCGTCATCTTCCTGTCCCAATGAGGAAATATTTGTAAAGGGGTTCGTATGGTGCTGGCACTTAGTAGGGCTAGATAATTGTTTCTAATCTTCTCTTATAAACTCTCCTCGTATCTATAACCCCAACATCACAGGTATAGGATGAATCTGAAGGGGACTCACAAAATGAGAGGATTGAAAGCCAGGCTTAGAGTCAGGAAGACCTGAGTTCACTATCCACCTAGCTCTTGACACCTTCTGGCTTTGTGACCCTGAACAAGTTATTAACGTCCTTGTGTTCTGCATTTCTAACAGGTGGGTCACAGCACTCCTGAAAGAAACCCCATTAAAGTGTTAATTGGGCTTGGGAAGACCTGAGTCCAAATTCAGCCTCCAGTGCTTATGAGCCGTGTGAGGAAGGGCAAGTCACTTAACCTCTGTTTGCCCGAGTTTCCTCATCCATAAAGTGAGGATAATAATAGCAGTTGCTTCCAAGGGTTGTTGTGAGGATCAAATGAGATAATAACTGTAAAGTCCTTAGCACAGTGCCTGGCACATAGTAGGTGCTATATAAATGTTAGCTAGTATTATTAAGATTATTATTATTATTATTATAAAATATTTGACAAAAGTAAAAATATAGTGGAGCATAGAAAATGTTAATATTTGGTTTTCTATGTCAGTATGTGGCCTGTAGGGATCCTTACGTGTGGTTTAGTGGCCCATTTTATTTGAGTTTGACATCTTTGGTATACAGGAAGCATGAGGATAAGCTCCCCCCCCCCAAACTATATAATACCAAGGGCCTTAATGTTATCTAAAAGTGCTATATACTCTTCTCTACCCAGCTCCACCGAAGTCAGTCTGGGAAAGCCAAAGGAGTACATTGCCCTGGGGGGAACCAGGCTGTGAAATCTACCCTTTAGATTCTACAGGGGCAGCTAGGCAGTGCAAGTGGTAAAGCATTGGGCTTGGATTCAGGAAGATCTGAGTTCAAATTCTGCCTTGGGTGTTTAGGAGCCATGTGACTCCAGGTCACTCAACCTCTGCCTTCCTTAGTTCCCTCAGTTGTAAAATGGGGATAATAATAGCACCTGTTACGCTATGGAAGTCCAGCTGAGAAAAGAGGAGGCAAGGGCAGCAGCTTTGAGCATAAATCTGTATGCATCCTGGGGGTCCTAAGCCCACTGAAATGAAATAATGTTTTTCCACTGGTGTTTGCCTGCTGAAATTTGCTTCACCAGGTTCTGAGCCAGGTTTCGTGGAAGTAGAGGTTGATGCTGACAAACAAAAACAGCTTTGCTGTGGGATCAAGCTTTTAGAAGTGGCGAATACCGCAAATACTGCTTGCTGCTGTGCCCCAGCTATAGAATGGGGAAAGAACTATCTGTAGAAACTGCTTCCTAGAATTATTGGAAAGAAAACACTTCATGAATTTTAAAAAACTGTACAAATATGGGCTCTTTTTATCGTACACGATTATCTTTGGGAATGTCATCTGCTCTTGATAAGGTCATGCATCAAATTTGAAGCCATTTTCAAATATTTGATAAAACTTTTGAAGAGATTCAATAGGGTGATTTTTTTTTTCCTTTCAGTTTTAAACACTTGTGATGGAGGTAGCATGGCTAGTAGACAGAACCACCAAAATCCTAGCTCCTGGGTGAGCTTGGGAAAGTCAGTCTCTCAGGGCCACGGTTTCTTTTTTAAAATGAGGGAGTTGTTCTGGCTGGTCTGTAAATTCTCTTAGCTCCAAATCCTGTCATCTTAATATCCAAGGACTCAGTTAAGGTCTCTGGATGCAAAAAAGATTCTCTAATACAGTAAAATAATGTAAATGTTAAGCATTGTCTCATTTCCTTTCTTCCTTAATTTCACTATAAATACACAGTGATGCTGGCCTAATTTCTCCTTTCTATAACAAATAAGAAAACAAGTAGCCAGCTGCTTAAAGAGCATGACATCCTTGCTGTTGTTTCTTATTGTGCTTTTCTAAAGTTGAAACTATATATAATATTTGTACTTTGTGATGATTACTAGTTATGAAACTTATGTTTAATTGATCATTTTTAATGTGATTTAAATAGTAGATTCATAGTTGACCAACATCTCTTTTTTTCCCCTTTGTTTACATTAACTTGTTGCTCTTATTTTCTTCAATGTAGGACAAGGATTTGCATTTCAGAGGAAACAAAAGATTCAGCAAGAGTACAAGAAATTGCTGAGGAAAGAAAAAAAGGCACAGATTTCACAAGAGTCTCAGTTTACAGAAAGATATCCAGAGCATTTAAAACATCTGTATTTAGCTGAAGAAGAAATGCTCAGGAGACAGCATAAAAAAGAAAAACAACCTTTGCCAGAAGAAGAATGTAGCACAACAGTGAAGTATGTTTTTTCTCTCATTTAAATACAGGAAATTAAACCCATGCTTTGTTGGCTATTTTGATGGAGAGATATTGTGAAAATTTATGAAGGAATTACATTTTTCTCACTGGGTTTTTAAAATCAAATGAAAATGTAGTTGTAGCATATTTGAATTAATTAGAAGATAACATGGCTTAAAGGAAAGAGCATTGGACTGGAAAGAAAAATACTTAGATTCAGGTCTTAATCACCAATGATATGCTCTGATGACCTGGGAAAGTCTTACTAACTATTCTGAGGCTCAGATTCTTCATCTGTAAAATAATAAATAAAATAAGGCTAAATCTGTACGGTTCCTTACAGATTAAAATTCCATGACACTAAATTTCATGTTTTAAATGAAAAGAATAGTGCAAAGAATTGCACAACCTCATTTTTGAGATTTTTCGTTTTTCTCATCTACCTGTAATTACTAACATTTTAAAAAAATTGACACAGCCCATAGCTCTTCCCTAACCATAAAACTGCTACCTGGTGAAAAGTGCTAAGGCATAGAGAAATGTGAAATAAGTGAGAAAAACATTCTTTAAAAGGTACTGCAGGTAGATTTGGCTATAAAGTATAATATGATGAGAACCTTAAAAGAGGTAAAATTGTTACTTGATTTTAGAAATGGGAGAAGTCATTTTCTAGTTAGCTAAGTAAGTAATAATATCATTCAGGTGGTAGCATTCAAATTGGACCTTGAAGGTTGCTCAGAATTTCAGCAAGTAGGATAAATGGTGATGAGGGGAGAAAGGAAAAGCATTTCAGATGAAGGGAACAGCCATGTGTTTGGCTAGAGTGTAGACCTAAGTGACTAGTTGGTAGACTGCAAAACCAAAATAGGTCAGTCGTGTGATATGGCCACCAGAGAAAGCAGTGTGATTCAGGGCTTCATTAAAATAGGAGTAGCTTCCCAAAATGGTGTGATAGCCCTGTTGTTCTCTTCCTTGGTGATACCACATGTGGAGAACGGTGTTTAATTCTGAACAACACATTTTAGAGAAGATTAATACGCTGTAGTGTAAAGAGGAGGATAACCATTGAAAGAGGAGGGTGTCAGGCTCATGCCAAGAATCAGATGAAGGAGTTATGTTTGTTCTGGGGAAGAGAAGACTCAACATAGAAATAAGAGTTATCTTCTAGTAGTTGAAGAGCTAGGTTGTGGAAACTGAATTAGACTTGTTCTGTTCAGCCTTAGAAGGCAGATAGAGAAGTAGTGTGTAGAAGGTGCAAAGAGGAGGATGTGAGCTTTTTGTGAAGAAAAACTTCTTGAGCTATTCAGAAATAGAATGAACTGCTTTAGAAAGGGGTGGATTATCCTTTCTTGGATATCTTCAAGCAAAGACTGAATGGCCCCTTGTTGGGAATGTGGGGGAAATTCTTTTGGTTACTGGTTGGACTAGATGGCCTCTGAGATGAAGGAATATTACCAGATGGAAAAGATAAATTGGAACCAGATCTAAGAGGGCCTTGAACACCAAGATTTGCTCTGTGGTTAAAATAGAAGTCAGCAGTTCGGAACTCATGATCATTTGGAGAAAGGGCTGGCCTGATTTTTACCTTTACTTAAGGAAACAAAGAACTAGAGTGAACAGGTGGTTAATGGGTTAAAAAAAACAGTATTGGGGAGGAGTGGGTTTTGAAACTATCATTATCAGTTATTACCTACTTTGTGCCCAGAAAGTCACTAGGCACTAGTAACTGACATCATCCTGACCTCTAGGAACTCGTAATCCAGTTAAGGAGACAAGCTAGCCTGCATATGTAATTTACAGAGTACTAAGCAAGAGCTAAGTGGTTTGATACAATTACAAGTAGTAGAGGAATTCAAGAAAGGAATAAGAGTTGGTGTAGTCATGGAAGTCTGATAAAATGGAAGGGTTAAAATGACTGGAGTTTTTAATGTCCTAAGTTCTGCAAAGTACATGTGATTGGTCCTTCTGCCACTGGCACCAGTGTTGTCCTGCATTATAGATATATATATATATATTTTTTTTTAAGGCTGCTCAAAGTTTATGAGTTTCTGTTGAGTACAAACAAGTTACTGAGGCTGCTGGAAAGCACATAGGTGATTCAGATAATAAAAAACCAAACAATAACAGTGTGGTTTCTTTTACTCGTTTTTGGGCGTTTTGCTTTTGGTTTCCTTTAAAACAGAAAACACACACAACAACTACTTCTGCACTTAAGCAGCCTGTGTATTCTAAGGGAATAGATGGAAGGGGAGGGAGGAGGGAAGGGAAGGGGGAAATGGGCACTGATGCCTAGCACACTTCAGAAGCAAGGAGGGTGCTGCTGCTCATGGAGAAGGCCCAGTGCTGGTCTTGCTGGGCTCACTGACATGCCACTTCCTCATGGCCTCCTGAGCCAGGTCACGGGTGCCTTGAGGAGCCTGGAAAGTTCCTGAGTGCTCTGGGGATTCCAGTACAGTTGTATTGGATGACTCGACTTCCCAAAGAAGAAGCTTGCCCACGAATGGCCTGGGTCTGATTTGGGAATACCAGAATGGTGGGAGATCACTTCCCCAGAGTACTCAGCAGTTCCACAGGAGCTATTGCCAGGAGTGGAACCCAGACATCTTCGGTAGTAGGGAATTGCTAGACAGGATTGCTGGCATGTCGGCTTGTTCTTCTTGTGATGATGTAAACTTTAGTGGTGGTTCCTGAGCAGCCCCTGTCAGGCAGTGGGCTGCAGCAGACAATCAGGGTGACCTGGCTCAGGGGAAGGGGCTGCTAGGCCACGGAGCCCATTTGTAAAAGAGATCACGGGAGGATACTCCACAGCAATGAAAAGGCAAGTTCTTTGGGTTCTCTATATCATTCTTAGAAAGGCATCCTTAGTAACACTTCTTGCATCTATGGTCCGTGATACGCAAACCCTTCTTGAACTTACTTATAGTTTTTAGCCTGTAACATGTCTTCATGTACACCTTGACACGTTTACTACATATTGTGTAGTGTTTTCTTCTGATGTCAGGCTTCTAGAACTGTCCCTGATTTTTTTTGACCTTCATAACTTTTTTTTTACATTGTTTTTTACAGCCCTGTTATCTCTGCAAAAAGAAGTAAGAAAAAAACATCAAACCAAAAGGCAAAAGAAGAATATGAACGGGTACAAGCTAAGCGTGCTGCTAAGAAACAGGTAAAACTTACTTTTTTAATAAAACAAGTTCTTTCTTTCTCTTAAAATCCTGTTTCATAATGTGTAACTCAATATTTTCACAGAGTTAACTTATGAACTTGGCCTTTCATTCAAGGTGTTATTTTTATCTCTATAACTGTTTACAATGCATTACAGCTATTCGCATTTTAACACATTAAAGGAATAAAAATCTCATAACCTGTTAGTTGCTTTGAGCTCTAAATCTGATCCGTTAATTTAGAGAACTCTAGGATTAACTCTTAGGACTAATGAGAAACCAATTTGACCATTAAGAAAAATACAGTCTTGGGGCAGCTAGGTAGCACAGTGAATAGAGCTCTGGCCCTGGAGTCAGGAGGACCTGAGTTCAAAAATCCGGCCTCAGAAACATAACACTTACTAGCTGTGTGACCCTGGGCAAGTCACTTAACCCCATTGCCTAGCCAAAAAAAAGAAGAAGAAAAATACAGTCTTTCATGTAGTTGTTTTTGCTGTACGTTGAGGCAGTGTTATGAGATGAGGGATGTAAGGGTGTTTAAAATCCTTGTTTATTTTAGTTGTGGCTTTTACAGAAGAGTTTATTTCTAACTTAGCAAGAGGGGGCATAAACTAAAATAGTGTTAGACTATTAAAAGTTAAAAGCGTAGAAGCAGGATTTTATTAGTACCACTTGTTCTTGTCTTGGACACTGCACAGTTGCTGGTATCGTGCCACCTCAAAAAGGATTCGAACCTCTGTCAGGGCAGTTCTCAATTGGACAGTGAGTGATGTTACCGAAGGTAATTTGCTCTGCAGCTTAACTCCTCTAAGCCTCACTTTCTTCATCTAAAATGAGGTGATGGAAGAAATGTTCTTTAACATCTCTTCATTGGTAGCATTCCGTAATTTAATTTTATTTCGCTTTGTAACTTACGAGCCTTTTAAACTTTTTGTCATCCTGCCAATGAGGAACAGTAATTTGGACATTTAAAAATTTGCATTTGATAAAGTGACTGCTTTTCTGAATAGTCCATGAAGCTGATGATGGACTGAGGTGAAACAGTATTTCTCTGTGGAGCTATTGCAACTTATGTAATTGGGTACATTGTGCTTTTTTTCTAACCATAGGATATTAACCACATTCTGAAATAGGGTACCGCATGAATTAAATTGGTGTCCACTGTAAAAGAATTTTGTGTTCCTTTTTCATTTCACTCATCTGGAACTAGAAGCTTTCCTGTTAATAAATGTTGGCGTGTTTACTTGGAATTCAGTGTTTCAAAATGGTAATGTGAAAGCTATTAGCATCACAGTGATAAAAGCTGGATTGTTGAAAGTTTCAATGAAGGATCCAAATTGATTACAAACATATTAAGTTTCTTTTGAGTTTGTAGACAACAGTCCACAGATACAAAATGTTCTCCGTGTGTCTGCATTGGTGGTTTTATCTACAAACTAGGACAAAGTAAGTCTTATCCCTTGTAAGACTTTATTTTGCATAATATACAACCATGGTGTATTTATCATAATTGTGAAAGTAGAAATAGTGATAAATAGAAAAAGATTTTTTTTCCTAAGAAGATAATTGTATTAGAGTTAAGGCTGCTAGAAAAATATTATGATCCATTCTATTTTAAAATTTATTTTAAAATCTCAGCATAATGTGATTTTTAAAAATAATTTTGCTTTTTAATAGGATGACATCACACATAAATGTAAGCTATAGTTTGCTATCTTTGTCTAACTGTGAAAGTTATTAAGTAACCCTCGTAGATACATTGGGTATTTATCAACAAGTATGAATTAAAGGCATTTTTTAAAGCACTTATTATGTACTAAGTGCTGAGCTTGGAGATACTAGTAGAGAAGATGAGACAGCTAGTGCTATCCAGGAGCTTATGCACTGATCAGGGAAGAAAATGCATAAGAGAAAGTCCAGCTACTGAGTGAATGAAAAGCCCCCAAATCATTAGGAGGTAGTTAGGGGATAGCAAGTCCCCCCGGGCTGTCAGGTGACAGTATCAGAGTCCTGAAGGGCATAGAGGAAAGGTAGAAGGGAAGAAGGCCTGGTTATCCTCCAGCTCAATCAAAGGAAAAGAGAATTGATGAGCCACATCTCATCTAAGCAAAGTTAGCAGTCAGGCTCCTAGGATGGGCTTGGTACAGCCAACAGCCTAGGGAGAGGGCCTTATCTTTAAGATTCAGGAAATCAGAATAAATAAAATTGACATTAAGAAATACTTAAAAGACAAATTTTATTACTCGCTTTTCATAAGTCTTCAAGTAACAGAACTTATTCCTGGGTTTCAGTGTGGGTAGATTCCCTCTGCCTCACATAGGTTGCAATCTCTTTGCAACTTCTTAAGTCATCTTTGAATGTTTCTGTAACCAAAAAATTCATCACATTTCAGTCAACTTAGTGATAGGCTAGGCTGGACATATTATAGTCTGTCACTGAAAGCTTTTCCAGCTTAGTGTGATTTGCTACAGTTTGTGTTCCTTTGGCTCAGCCTTCAAGACCCCAGGGTCACTTCAGGGCTATTTAGACCAATTCTGATAAATAAATAGAGGACTTTATGTACTGGATAGGACAATTAAATGAGCTCTCAGGTTCTTGCCAGTAGAAAGAATGTTAGTCTTGTTTGTCTGTTCTTTGAGTATTGTAATATAGAGAGCATAGTAACTAAGAAATAATGATAAATCACAAACATTATTTTGCATACATTATCTCATGTTTTGCACATGCTGAAACTGAGGCTCGGAGTACAAGGTCACACTGGTACCAAGAGACACTTGAGACTTTTAACCTTAGCTTTTTGATATAAAATCCAGTATTCTTTCCACTAAACAACACTGGCCTGGAAGAAATGAGATACACTGGAATTGAGATAAAGCATCTCATCTTCTAAAATATCTAAATTCATTCACAAATATAGAGGTCAATTACTTTTGAAAAATGTTGGGGTTTACTGGCTAGATTTTTTAAAGACTAAGCCTTAAACACTCTAGATCTCAAGGATTAGAGGAGAGGTCCCTGCCCCAGCACCACTTAATGGTTATTTTTTGGACCCTGCTCTCCCCAAGGGAATGTAAATAGTAACTGTTTCTCTTTTGGCCAGCAACCCTGAGGGTGTTCCCCTCCCAGTTTGATTTTTTTTTTTAAAATTAAAGGGGCCATCCTTTGATTAACTTCTTAAAGAGGCCCATTCAGTGAATGGGCTAGCAAAGTGAGAACTTGAAAAGACCTTAGCTTAAAAGGTCTCCCACTGCATCCTGAGCCTTATCTGGCCACTGGATCCAAATGGCGCTGGAGGAGAAAGTGAGGCTGGTGACCTTGCACAGACAGCGCTCCCTCACTCAAATCAAAGTCAATTGCAAGTCATGTCATCTGACAGCATGGTCCTCTTCGAGAACGAAGGACAAACCACGTCATTTTACTGTATTATTACTCAGTATTTCAATCATGAAATCTGATTTCTAAAAGACAACTAAAATATAAATCATATCCTCAGAGAGAAATGTTAAAGTCTTTTTATGGTAGTTCTTAAAACATTCCGAACTCTTCATGTACATGCTATTAATGATTAAGACATTTGTTAATTTCAGGAGTTTGAGAGGAGAAAGCAAGAAAGAGAAGAAGCACAGCAGCGCTACAAAAAAAAGAAAATGGAAGCATATAAAGTACTGAGCAAAAGGACTAAAAAGGGCCAACCAAATCTGAACTTACAAATGGAGTATCTTCTAAAGAAAATACAGGAGAAAACATAAAACACATTTTGTCCTTGGGTGAATATTAAAATATATTATATATTGTGTGTGGATTCTTTTGAATCACTTAATATACTTTGTTATTTGCAATTTTGTGCTCTTTGTATAACAGACCAATTCAAGCACATTGGAAATGTTTTTATTTTTGTAGAGAACATTTTAAAAGCGCTATAATTTTTTTTATTGCTTGATGGTTACTTCTTAAAGAAGATTGATCTATTGAATTAAAACATTCTGTTGAAATGAATGGCTTAAGCTATATTTTTGCCCAGTTGAAGACTTTAATAGACCAAACTAAATTATTCTTATTAAAAAACAGCTTTTGGGTATTTATATCCTAATAAAATGTTTAGGCAGCTGAAATTCTTTCTGGTATTAAAAACTGTTGTTTTGGAAGTTTTTTTTAATGATAACATCTGTTTGGATTTAATGATAGTGCAAAAAAAAAAGTTAATGTCATTAGCAGTATTTCTATTGATTCCTCCCCCCCCTTCTATTGAAAGCTTTCATCCAGAACTTATAAATATTACTGGGTTGGTTTTTTTCCCCATCTATAGTAATGTTTCCTAATGCTGATGCTGTAATAGGTCTGGATCCACATATAAAAATGTTGCATTTTATATACTTGCCAGCATCCACAGTAGCATTTGAAATAGTTTGAGCATCCCGCATACCCTTTTTCTACTGTAAAAAAACATTCAAACAATATTCTTAAATTTTATTTTCCTTTTTCCCATGATTAAATAGGCAGAAACTGAATTGGACAATAACTAACTTAAAGTTTCTAAGTAGGGTGAGTAGGACGTAGAATGTAATAATTACTATTATAAGTGATAATTTAAGTTTTAAAAAGAAAATCAGTCACAACAGAAGCTATGGTTAGCATCTTCTAGTTTTTTATACATTGATGATTCTAGTTAAAAACTAATAGGTGATATATCCAGCTCTTGGGGAAACTTCTTCACACCCATCAAATTCTTGTTTAAAACAAAAACACCCTCCTTTCTCTTCCTTCCCTTCTTAATACTGTGTATTCCCTTGTACAGGCCCCTACAGCCTTTCCCCAGGCACTTTTGGATAGCTTGGTTTTTTTTAGAGGTTGCTAGGCTACCAATCACTTCATTGCCACAATACTCCAGAGAGAATTTGATGCTTTGTTTGCAAAGATTCTACAGGGTTGTATTCTTTAGAAAATGTTTTCTTTTTAAAAGATTAGTTTGTAATTGAAATTAAATTGAAAATTATTTTACTCTATATTTAATATTCCCCCAAAACTTATTCCACAGTAACTGTGTCCATAGTACAAATGAGTTTTTGAGATGCTAAGAGCTGCATGTAAGCTATTACTTAAATGTTTGTTTTTATTAAATGTATTTCTGTAACGTGTATATTTGTATACATGATTAATCACATTAATTTCTGATGCTGAAGTGGTTTTTCAAATCTCTTACCAATAGTAGAGGAGGAAAAATACCAGTGAATTTTGAATGAATTACTCTTTGCATTCTTCCTAGGTTATCTGAATCCTTTACCAAAATTCTTAAAAAGCCTACTTCGCAGATTCTCCTGCTGAATTAGTATCATAAAGTCAGGTGTCCTTTGAAAACTGTATCTTGACAGATCGCTAGTAAAGCATGAAAACACTTCTTGAAAGAAGTATTTAGTACACCCTGATAAAAATAAACACTGATTAACTTAGGCTTGTTTTTCCAGCTAACATCTGCCTATCTCAAATCTCTTTACCTGGAGAAGATTAGTACTAGGGCAAAACTAGTCAATCATGCACATAAAGAAGTACAGAGATTATATTTTTTGGCTACCTGACGAATCATTTCTCATCTTTGGTACAAGAGCTTCGGTTCCAAGGCTGTTGCAGTCTCTAGATCAGTCCCAGAAAATTACTCATGTGTAATACCCTGAGGCAGCTAAATATGTCCAGGCCTGGGGAGTGCTTCCTTATACTCAGCCAATAAGTCAGCCTCTTCAGGAAATAAAATCCCAACTCTATGACTCATACCCCCCTCCAAAAGTACAGGGCTCTTAGATGCTGGGAGATCTCTCTTCTGATGCACCAAAGGCTACTTTTCATCTGCTTCTGTTTCACAAAAATTTACAACTGACCCAAAATTTGCAATCCTGTCACCTGTTTACCACTTTGAATTCACTAAAAGTCATAGCCTCTCTCTGACTTAAAGATCACAACTATCATCTAAGGGGAGGAAGGAGATAAGCATCCTCACCCATTCTTATAGTACATCTAATGTAATTTGTGACCCCATTTGGGGTTTTCTCAGCAAAGATAATGGAGTGGTTTGCCATTTCCTTCTCCAGCTCATTTTACAGATGAGGAAACTGAGGCAAATGGTTAAAGGACTTGCCCAGGTTTATACAGTGAGCATCTGAGGCCAGATTTGAACTCTGGAAGATGAGTCTTCCTGATGCCAGGCCTGGCACTCTTTATCTATGGCATCACTTAGCTGCCCTGTTCAGCAAACATTAGCACCTACTAAGTGTAAACCAAGGCAGGAGGGAGTGTAAAGTTTGGAGTGGGGGAGGAGGTAGATAGCATACCAGATCTAGATTTCATTGGTAAAAGGAACTCCTTGTGAAGAAAATCCCACTAAAATTACAGGTCATTACCTTCTCTGCAGTTGATAATCTCAGAAAATTGCCTGGGATACACAATACGTGTCAGAGGCTAGTCTTGAACCCAGGTCTTTCTGACTCCTAGCCCGGTTTTCTATTTTCTACACTGTGCTTGCACTAGTTAGTACTGGAGATGCAAGGACAAATGAAACAATCCCTGCCCTCAGGGACCTTTCCTTCAGCTGGAGGGTATGCAAATGTACACAGATCAGGAAATAACGCCTACCCTGCATACTCTATCTTCATTTCTTCTGTAGTCTATGGTTCATGTAGCCAGGTCTAAGAACCACCTTTGAAGATTACTGTTGACCATTTATTAATCATCTACATACACCGCACTGTGTGCTAGGCATGGGCAGATAAGTAGATCGTGTTAGACTTGTTCCCTTCCAATCTAATGGGGAAACATGGCACATGCATTAATTGTAATAGAGAATACATAAAGCATAAATTCATTCTAAAGCTGCACATAAAATGCTATGTATGATCTGAAGAGGGAAAGATTATTTCCATTAACAGACACAGGGAGAACAATGGAGATCCCATTTTTACCAGCCACTTAAGGATTTCAGCAGCAGTTTGGACATTTCAAAAATAAGCACATGGGGTAATCTGAGTTGGCTGGAACCTAGAGGCAGCATGTTGCCATAGAAAGAGCCCTGGACTAATGATCAGAGAACCTAGGTATGAGTCCATTCTTCCACTAACTATCTCTGTTACTTTAGGTATGTTGCTTCAACTTTCTGGGCTTAATTTTCATTTTCTGTAAAATGAGAGGGTTGCAAACTAGACAGCCTCTGGGGCCCTTTCCAGCTCTAAATTCATAATCCTAGAGTCTTTGGATGGGAATATGCAGGATTTTGTTTTTCTTTTTGTCTGAAACTTTTTTTTAATGAAAATTTCCTATAATACAAAATGTACAATAATAGCAAGGCATATTCTGAAATTAGAGGTATTTCTGTAGCATGGCACTATAAAGAATATATGAATATTAATGTTTTAAAAAATAGTTTGATGTGAAATTAATCCTTTTTGGTGCTTCTTTACAATAGGACCTGAAACAGTATTCTCTTTTGTAAAGTAATATTTATAAATCCTTATAATATGATATAAGGCTAGAAGAAATAAGATAGACAAGTCACTTAACCTTTAACACAATAAATTGCAGAGAAGGCTCTGATCTGCGTTGGGAGAGAAGGTTCCCCACCAGGAGCCCCTACTAGTGGATAGAGGACTAGGTCTGGAATTAGGAAGGCCTGAGTTCAAATTCAACCCCAGACATTTAACTAGCTGTATGACCCTGGGCAAGTCACTTAACTTCTATTTACCTCAGTTTCTTCATCTGTAAAATTGGGATAATAGCATCTCCTTCCCAGGGTTGTTGTGAGGTTCAAAAGAAATAATTGTAGTGTTTAGCACAGTGTAAGCACTATATAAATGTTAACCTGGATAAAATCACATGTCCAGTCCAAAAACTGAGTAAGAGAGGCCAAATAACAAAAGCTGAGTTAATCAATGTTTAACAAACAGCTCACTGGAAATGTATGCATGACATTTTAAAATTTAATTTGCATTATAAAAATTTTCTCCATCATTTCTTAAGTTGAGACAATCAACAAAACAATAAATTGAGCCCTACTTTGTAGTGTTAGCTTATTTACAAGGTATAAATGCTCACACTGAAAATTTAACAAGCTGCTCTTGGAACTAGTTCCTGTGTCCCACTGAGAGGTGGATGGCATTGTAAACAGAATAGGCAACGTCTATTGAAGAGAGAGGTGTGAAAGAGGGTAGGCTCAGATTTTTGATCACAGATCTGAGATGTATATGATGGTGAAGTGACAAAGGGTTTGGGGATGAGGGCTGAAGTTTCTCACAGATAACTCACTGCATCCGTAGACCTTGACTGGTTCATCCTATTCCTTTGTTTCCTCACCAAGCAACCCAAGCGCAACATAATATTTATTAGCCAGTCCACTTCATGACTCCAGGAGAGTCATAAAGCAAATGTGATCATGAGCTTTCTTGGACTCTTCTTTCTTCACATTCCTAGAACCAAGAGAGTCAAAGCAAGCAAGAAATAATGATAATAGCTCACAAGCATTTAGTATTTCACATACATTATCTTATATGATTCTAGCAACTCTGACATATGCTGGGCAGGTATTATCTACATTTTATATATGCTGAAACTGAGGCTCAACGTACAAGGTCACACAGGTATAAGAGATGAGACTTTTAACCTTTGTCTTGCTATGAAGTCTATCATTCTAAATAACACTGGCCTGGAAGAAATGAGATGTCCTGGGATTGAGATAAAGCATCTCATCTTCTAAAATCCCTAAATTCATTCACAAATATAGAGATCAATTTTTTTTGAAAAATGTTTACATTTTAGTATATTATTACTTGGTACTTTAATCATAAAATCTGATTTCTAAAGACAACTAAAATATAAATCATATCCTCAGAGAGAAATGTTCTTTTTATGGTAGTTCTTTAAAAAATTTCAAACTACATACACATATACATATGTATATATTTTATATATATATATATATATATTATATACATATATATATATACACACACACACACATACATGCTACTAATGATTAAGACATTTGTTAATTTTAGGGGTTTAAGAAAAGAAAGCATGAAAGAAAAAAGCACAACAGTGCTACAAAAAAAGAAAATGGAATCATATAAAATATTGAGCAAAGGAGCTAAAAAAAGGTCACCCAAATCTGAACTTAGAAATGAAACATATTCCACAAGCACATAAGAATATGTAGTCAATTTATACAAATATGCAATAATGAGGATGAGAGAATCATGGGCAAAACAGCACAGATTTATGTCAAGGTTTGATGAATTTCCTTAATGGGAATAGGTATTAACATTGTTGGACTCAGCATAAAGTTTTATTTTCCTAATCCCTGCAAATTTTACTAGGCTGTGATCCCAATCACAAAGCAAGTTAAAAAAAGTGTTAGTGGGAAGTGATGTTAGGGAATTAACCATGAATTAATAAATTGCACAGCGTGATTGGCAAAGAATGAGAATTGAGAGAAAGTATAATTGAAGTAGAGGCCAGAAAGATTTTTTAAAAAAGAGAACTATGAGTTAAGAGTTAAGTAAGATACAGAGGTAAAACCATCTCCTGGAAAGTCTTGGAGGACTGGATGGTAAATCACGCTGAAATCTAACACAATAGCCCACAAGGCCAAAATTTGGCTCTGCTGGTGAAGACAGCACATCATGAAATGACTAAGATCCCTTACTGGATGGCTCTACAGAGATTACATCTGCAATACTGTATAGTCTTAGACACTTCATTAGGCAAGGGGCCAAATATGATGAAGATGGAGATAATGTGAATGGAGAAGGAGCCGTAAGTAAAATGAGTAAAAAGTTTTCAAATGTAGTCATGTTGATAAATCAGCCATTTATCATCTACCTCACCCTCTCCCTCTTGTCACCACCATTAAAATGTTATTTTTTAAAACAAACACAATGGACTTGTAAAGTTGTAGCCTGTTCAAAAAAGTATCCTGGCAAACAAAGGATCACAGAGGTATCACTGGAAGGGAACTCCCATAGGCCATTTAATCCAACCCCTCCATTTTATGTTGGAGGAAACTGAGGCCCACAGAGGTTAATTGACTTACCCAAAATGAAATGGGTGGTAAATGTCAGAGATGAGATGTGAATTGAGGTGGTCTGCCTCCAGAGCCAATGC